TAGTTTAAAAGGATGGGCTTTCTGAAACCTTTACAGTATCAGAATAAACGTGTCAGATGTTGTAGGCATAATTGAATTCTAATCATAATATTTCCACTTACCACGTAGTAAACAAGAAAGACTCGTCTCATAGTGTGGGCTATTGTTACTTGTAGCTTAATGTGTTCTACAAATGTAATTAAATTAGCGCAGGAGTCAATACAACTTAAGCAAGGCCTCTTCAAGAAATATTGAACCAATTCCAGAAATCAGTTCGGAGGAGTCCAGACTGCCTGCATCGATTAAACTATTAAATTGAATTATGACTTAAATAGAAAACCAACAGAAAGGTGAGTATTTGGCTGAGCTAAAGACAACCGCACACACCTTACACAAACTAAAGGAACAATCATGGTTTGGTTATAAAAGATTTAAGGTTTTATTTATAATTTCTCAAAACACCATGTTATACCACATTAAGTTCTCAATTCACCTGAGCAGTCGATAAAACTGCTTCAAAATTTGATGTGGAAACCCAAAATGACTGGAATGACTTGGTTAAAATATATTTTTTGTTGAAGCCTAATATGAAAAAAGGTAGTTAATGTATTTCTCTAATCAAGACTCAGTGCTTATTAGAGATATATTTGGTGTATATCAACAATCTTCATTTCGCCAGGTGTACCAATGCAGTCACATTTTAATATTAGAAATGTGTCATCTTGGCCTATGCCTTTAACTCAATGGTATGGCCATTTCATTCATGTAATTTAAAGGCACATTAAAATCTTCTCCAAACAAGAAAATGATGCACACTTCTTAGTTTTGCTGTTCTTTCTTGGTCCCCGTTGAATGAAAGCCAACTGGGTGAAGTGTCAAAAATGGGTAAATAAAATAACGACTAGTTTCACACTGCGATACATGTGTAAGTCGTATTAAAGATTCAACAGCAAATACATTCCTCAAGGTGAGATTTTCTCTATGAACAAAAAAACTCATCTTGCTTTGGTTTTGAGAACAAAGAGTGGGATCACCTCTTAATACACACAAACAAACCCAGCCAGTGGGTAAACACACACAAAAACAGTGAGATACTTTGTGACAATAACGTGCTCAAAATGACAGAAAATAAAATGTTTTCATCTCAGCAGATTGAAATATGAACTGAGACTGTACCCTATGAAGTATCCAGTCACACAAAAATATATTTCTCTGGCCATAAAGGGACACCATGTTGAACATTGAATGGAAGAACGAAGTGGTGCTCTAAAAAAAAAAAAAAATCATTCCAAAAAGCTAAATAAATGCCGTAACTGAATTTTGTGACAGTCAACAAAGTGTAATTCTGAAATGTAAAACATGTCCACAGATGACTGACACACATCTGGTAAATGCAAAAATACCTGTACTGCACCTTAGCCTTTAAGCCTTTTCTATCATACAGTACGTTAAATTGACAGTGACCATAAAAGAGGAGAAAGCAAAATCGTCGTGCTGGCACCAAGATCCTGAGATTTGACTATTCTTTAAGATCTTACATTAAAAATATACACACTCAGTTGATCTAGCGCTTCCGCATTTTGACCTCAAGAAATAAATACCCTCGCACATATTACCATCTAAATCTATGAAGAGATGTACCAAAATATAAGGTACAGGTGCAAAGTTAGAGTCACTTTTATGTAACAGAGGCGTCTCACTGGGAGTAGATCCAGCAAACCAGCAGACCAAAGGCCACAGCTGCACCCGCCCCAACATTCAACAGGATGGGCCTCCAGTAAGCCCAGCTCTCCTTATTCTTCTCCGAATCTGTCAGTCTCTGTTTCATCTGCTGGATTTTCTGTGCAGTGCCTGCAATCCGCTCCTCTCGCTGACGCTTTCGTAGACTACAAACGACAAAATAATGATTATGGTTCACGATATTCAACAGCCAATTCTAAATAAAAATAAGACAGTATATACACATAAAAGTAATAATGGTAGCGGTTAAGATAAATTTCTTAAGATACCCAATTTGCTTAAGATTGTCTACCCTGCTAAACCTCACAGGCTGTGGTGGACTGCAAGACTGAGATTTGCATTACAACAACTCCATGTAAATATATGAAAGTACTTATTTTTGTTATTTTAGTAGAAGGTATTCTTTTATTTTTATTTAGTTTGTTATCCCTACAGCACATTGTAAACTCTACCCACTTTTAGGTGAGAAGTGTGTAAACAGACATATTCTGGTTCTTGATCTATTCTTTACCAGTGACCCTGTGTGTTCTTGATTGCTTTAGGCTCCGAAATGTACCATCCAAAAAAAAAAAAAAAAAACCTTTGAAATGGCTTTTAATATGTCCGGTGAACAGAGCCCATCATGAGTTTATCATTTTACTTACTGCCCAGAGTTGTCTCTTATGCTGTTGTCTTGACTTGCTGGCTCTCCTTCAATGACACTACCTCCCTGGTTTGTCTGTGGCTCTACACAGGTCCCAGGCTGGCCGTTGGACTTGCTGTCTTTAAATGTGTGGTGAGGTCTGGGTGGAGGAGGCGGAGGAGGCAAATCTGGTTCCAAGTCATTGGTGGAAATCAGCTTTTGTTTCTATGGGGAAAACACAGTGTTAACAAAACCTAGAGCGAAGCTTGTTCACCAAAAAGGCTAAACTGCCCATATGTAATTCTACAAATAATGCCTCAGCCATAAGCCTCTTTTCCATAGGCTTTTGGTTCCAGGCTGTGTAGGCTTGGTGCGGTATTGGTTGGGGATAATAGGGTTTAGAATAGGGATAATAAGGAAATTTCACTCTCTACACATGTTGCAAAATCTCATTACATTGACTTTGGAGTTGCAGATGTGTGGTGCACTGGAAAAAGATAAATAATACATCAGAAACAGCTGTTGCCATGTGAATGCAGCTGATTATCAAAAGAAGAAGTCAGTGTTTGATAAGAAATAGGGTAAAAAAAAAAAAAAAAAAATATATATATAATATATATATATATATATATATATATATATATATATATATATATATATATATAATATAAAAGAAAGAGAGAGAGAGAGAGAGAGAGAGAGAGAGAGAGAGAGAGAGAGAGAGAGAGAGAGAGAGAGAGAGAGAGAGAGAGAGAGAGAGAGAGAGAGAGAGAGAGAGAGAGAGAGAGAGAGAGAGAGAGAGAGAGAGAGAGAGAGAGAGAGAGAGAGAGAGAGAGAGAGAGAGAGAGAGAGAGAGAGAGAGAGAGAGTGTGTGTAGATAGAGTGATAGATCTTTTAGACACCATGTTACTCAAGTAGCCTCTTTTCAGTAGCAAAACCGCCTCTATGGGGCTATGGCAGAAGGGGGTATACAACAACTTTTATACAACAATGTGGGGACTAAAATGCTAAGGCTGACTGAGATACTTACCAGTGTGAAGCTGTTTGGCAGAATAATTTTTGCTCCCTCAATGACAGCCATGTAGGAAAACCGGAGCTGGTCTGCAGTCTGGATTAGGCCCATGCGGTATTCTCTCATATCCAGCAGCACCTTTTGAATGTCCACTGATGAGGGATCCTGTCTCTTATCCATCTAGAAGCACATAATCTTACTTACAATACAGCAGGGCAAAGATAAACCCTTAAGTCAATGTTTTCGCTCAAAACTGTTTTTGCAAGGTGTGAGCCAAGGTGTAGCATTTATTAAAATCAGTCCCATTTTCTTACAAGACATATGCAAGCACTTGACCTTGTAGTTTTAGAATGCTTTATGCTGACACAAATTGAAGATACCATAATAGCTTACAAATAGTTTTTACATTAGTAAATTTGCTTAAAGTGTAGTACACAGCTATTGGCCAATGTATCTTTGAGAGATATGATGTGGATGTTTCTTTTAAGCATTTTCATTGAGGATGTGATGATAGAAAACTATTCTGGTAAAAAATCAATGTATAGTTTTATCTGATCTGATGCACACCAAAACAAACCACACCATACGGGATTTAATTGTTGGTGTTAAGTGACCTTTTCCACCAGATTCTCAGAACAGTATGAGAGGAACTGACCCATTCTTACACCACACCCTTCAATAGGGCAACTAAAAACAGTTTGACAATGATGCCTTTAGCTGAAATAAATAGGGTCACAGCAGAGGATGAATTTAGTGGTTATGTTCACTGAATATTGTTGTTAAAGCTATTTAATTTAGTAATCGTGATGAATGAATAAATATTCTTTAACAAATCAAAAGAATAGCATAATAGAAAATGAAAAAAGCAAAATTTTATATTGTCTAATACAAATTGTTCAGAATATCAAACACCTTATTGGTGATGATTTTCCCAATATAATAAGCAAAGACAAAGAGAAGTCAATGCAAACCAAGTTATCTTATTACTTTTTTTTGCTAGCTTTTTATATTCAACATGCCACAACTTCGCTCCTTAACAGACAAACATTACACACACTATATAAAAAATCGTGCCAAAACATGAATCTCTCCCTCTCTTTAATTATGCAATACCTCCCCAGATTTGCCCTTTAGTAACCATTCTCCACCCTTCTCTTTCTCTTACCAGGACGAGACAAGTATCCACCAAGGCGAAGGTTCCCGAACGTCCAATCCCAGCGCTGCAGTGCACGACAGAGGGCCCATGCTGAGGCCCCAGAGACCCGGATTGTCTGACCCGGAAGAGGAAGTCCAGGAAGGAACCCGGAGACTCTGGCACACCGAAGTCAGGCCATGAAGTATAGTGAAAGTGGTAGATCTCCCTGGATTCTCCTGTCTATGTCAAACAATGAGGGAGATTTTTGTGTGATTATCGTGTGAGAAAATAATTCTACAGTGAGCACTTTCAAATAGTTGCAGCCCAGCCATACCTACCATCTTTCTGATTTAAAATGAATCTACTGGGTGACATTGAAAATGTTTATTTTAAACATGTGTAGCACATTTGCTACCCAACATTGCTATAAACTAGGTACAAATATTTGTGTTAGGCTTGACCGAACACTAAGCAGACTACAAAGACTTCACGGGAGCGCTCACCTTTGTGTTCTGCAGCTCCAACACTCGGATTGTATAACAGGTTTGGACCTCCTCGGAGATCAAGTGGACAACAAACCCCGTGTCAGAGAAAGGCATCTCTCGGTCTTTTGGGGTTGGCCAATACTGTGCACACTTTTCCTGTAAAAAAAACAACAAACTAAGGTGAAAACGGATGTAACCTTTAAACGCATCAGTATTTACAAAATATTTATCAAAACAAGCTTAAAAACAAGACTCTAGTCTTACAGCAGATCAACTACCTTTCACGTCCAACAGGTTGGTTTTTTAATATAAAAAAGTATAAGGCATTGTATAAAAGAGAAGAGTGTTGGTACAACTGTACCGCATACAACATTTAAAACTAAAAACGACCAACTAACCAACTAAAATAGAAATCTAAATCTGTACAGGTGACTTCCCAGTTCAATGAGAATGGCTGTGTAAAAGGTGGGTATCAAATTAGAATAATTAGATCATTCATCAGAAAAGTTACGCATTAGCTTAAAGAAGGTGACAGTTTGCAGCATAAGGATGTACATTTGGAGGTATTTTAGTGCAATAAAAACATCTATAATGAAACAAATGCTTTTATTTGAGTTTATTTTTTGGCTAAAATCTTACACGGTGGGACTTTAAATGTGGGGTAAATAATAGAAGGAGTACAACAAATTTGCAGATGGCCCATATGTTTCAGACTTCAGTTAGCACACCCCAAACCAAAGCCTGTTTCAGTTCCTTAAGTGAATTTTGCATACGTTTCTCTGTTGTTTAAAATCACAACAGAGGCTAACAACTATGTAATAAGTAATCTCCACAACATGATTTATTTTCAGTACAAAACAAAACAAAAAACACTCTTTAAAGCATCCTATATTACATAAAATTGATTCTTGTGAGCTTTAAGGAATGTTATAATGCTACCGCCTCATCAAAAATATACCCAGAGTTGTGTTTTTTTTTTTCATTCACATGTCTGAGTAATCCTTTGTTTATATCTCCAAAGCTCAAAATGCTCTGTTCCACCTTGTAATAATTTTCAAGTTAAACCGCTATGTTTAACTTTTTGTTTAACAGATTGGCAATTCCAGGGCTGAAATGATCCAAAGTACTCTTGTAAAGGTACATGGAGTTTAAAAGCATAGAGGAGCATTTTCTGTACTACCTCTGTACTATTATGTTGGGTTTGTGTGTTAAACAAGTGTGAATGAAACAAAACACAACTTGGATATGGTCCTGGTAAGGAAACAACATAGATCAGAAAAAAGTGTGATATTTTAAAAAAAACCTAATATTTGACTTAATGAAAAAAAAAAAAAAGTTTCAGACATTGAATTTAAATAAAATGGTCATTAGTTGCCACACATAGCTGATTAACCTCCAGCTTAATAGGTTAATGGCAATTTAACTTTCAGAGCATGTTTTAAGTGGATAGTCACTCTATAAAGGTATGCAATACAGAATAACTAAATTACATTTGTTTATGTGATTATATTTAATTGTAAAAAAAACTGAAAATAAAGACAAAGACTTACTGTTCCCTTTTCAATTATTCTGTTGAGCATTATGACAGCCTTGGTACACTGCTCCCATATCATGAGCCAAAAATGACCACATGTGTTCCTCAAAGGACCCTGGAGAAACACAATATATTACATGAATATGTTTGGAAAATGTTAAACACTTTGGGAAATTTAACGTGTAACTCTAAATCATCGCGCTGTACACAGAAAGCTACCAATACCTGAGAAAGAATGTAAGCTCTTTGGGCTTCCTCCATCATGATCAAACTTGCATTGATGTAATCATTTTCAGAGTTTTCAAGTTTAACTCGACTGTGGTCATCTGTAGGCCATTAGACAGATCACAGGGTGAGAGAGAGTTACAGAAACATACAGTTAAGTTTATTTACAGTGCAACTCATCATGGAACTCACATGGGCTCACATCTCTGTAGCGGTTCAAATTACGATTCACTGGAAATTTTGCAACTTTATAAGGATATTCGCTGGCTTGGTTACGGATCTCCTGTGGACACAGTTAAGAAAGTGTCACTACAAGTCTGTGGTAGCTATCACTGTTCTATTCCACATTTGACAGTATGTCCAGGTCTGGTCTGGAGTGGTGGTTTGTGCACTGGATTACTCCACGAGAAATAAACCATACAAGATAAAAGATTTACAGAGTATCGTTTGTGCATAGTTGTGGTGCTGTGGCATGCATGCATATATGCATATATATATATATATATATATATATATATATATATATATATATATATATATATATATATATATATATATATATATATATATTTTTTTTTTTTTACTTAAAATAACTACGTACTAATAAGTACAAAATGTGTTCATTTCTTATGTGAATGATGTATGTATTTTCTTAATAAGTTGCAGTGGGTCTATTTCTTAAGTGCCACATAAAGCTAATAAACTAAACTAAATAAAATCATGAATGGGAGTACATTAAAATCATTTACTGAGATAAAGATGATACTAAAAACATCATATTAGGCATAACCCAGATTACATGTAAATTTACCGAACCCTCCACTTATATGGCAGTTTTAGATTTACACCTTCAGATATCATTTAAAATGTTTTTTGTTGCAAATTACTAGTGTATTTAGAAATTAATGACTGTGAGAACTAAACACTTATTCACAGTGAATATGGGGCCATAGTCAACAGTGCATTTCAAACTCATGATTCAAATTGTTGTGTGATAGGCAAGCTTTGGGACATCTGTAATCTGCAACTAGAGTAGTAAAAATCAAAAAGTACACAAAAGACAAATTTCACGTATGTGCTCAGAATGAGCCTCTATTGTCACATAAGCCTACAGTGATAAGGGTTTTACTCTGAGTTTAAGTGCAGAGAATACACGCGGGGCTTCTATACACAAGCTTGTTTAACAGAATCAAAGCTATGGTTTAACAGGAAGAGATATGTTATAAACAGACACACAGAGGCAGTCAGACAGCTGGTGTTAGGACACATGCGATTTTCTCAGGAAGTCCTGACGAGTTCTCAGAAACTGCGGCTGACGTCTGTTAGCGTCAGGCAGCATTAACAGCTAGCGCTAGCTAACCGAGTTCATCAGAAAGTGCACCGCTGTCTGCACGTTTTCTCGCTACGGAAGTCAGTCACTACTACACGAGCACAGGTCGTGGATTTCGCAATCCAGTCACACTTAAATGCACTGTTACACATCTCATGGTTTTATGTGTGAAATGAAAGGCAAAAAACAGCGAAATACCACCATAGCTGTCAGTTAGCTATCAAAATTGCCGGTGGCTAAGACCGTTAGCATCCTATCGTCATAGAAACACGGGGCCCACTGTCCCGACTTACATTGTAAAGGTTATGCCATCCCCCGGAGGAGTCGATCTCTTCAAACTCCTGCTCCATGATGTCTTCAACTGTGCCCGCTGACAGTCGCCGGGGAAGTGTGTGTTTAGAGGCGCTTTGTGTGAGTTAGTCCGTTCCGTGAGCCATGTACAGCAGACAGACTGACAGTGTGAGTCTGGTCTATGGTCTGGTGTGCACAGCCCGGGGATCCCAGCGGGAGGCAGTCTGCTCTGTCTGCTCTGCTCTGCCGCTCACCGCAGCACACACGAGGGCCCACTGTCACGTGTCAGATTCACCCTATCACAAATCAGGACAATATTTTGGCAAATCAATAATTATCCAACCGCCACAAAAAGATATAACCATAATAATAATTGCATGTTTTGGATACCATTTTAGCTCGTGACTTATGGCAGAATTAAGCTTGATTGTATTAGAAATATCTCAAGGTAAATTCACATGTGGAACTTACCTGACCAGCCAGAGCCACACACTTCAGAGACTGGCTGGTCAAGTAAATGTTGAACCTGATTTCTACTGGAGGCTAGACCATGGATCAGGCTCAAGACTTTTCTAAACGCCTGTAAACCATGCTGAAAACCTATACCACTGCGCCCCCGTGTGACTATCTACAGGAGTGCACGCATGCCGCACAGGAGAACCCGCCAAGCATCTGCCCAGCACCACAGGCCTCTCCCCACTCCTGCACTGTGGACATAAAATCATGTTTGTAGCCAAGAGCATTGCTGCGGACCATAAGGATTTAATCCATGATGTCTCTTACGACTTCCACGGCCGAAGGATGGCGACGTGCTCCAGTGATCAAAGTGTCAAGGTTAGCCCCATTGCTGCTGTTGCTGTTAGCAGGAGCTAGCTGGTTAGCATAACAAAAGCATGAGACCGATATCAGTATTACTAATAAAAACAGTGATTTTGTTTTTGTTTTTTTGTGTGTTTTTTGTACTGTGACTTCAAATTGGACTTTCGATGTGTCTTTGTCCTTGCTAACTTGAAGAAAAGATTATCTCCATATCCTGATATTAAGTATTTCCCAGTAGTAAGAAATGTGTCAAGCCATGTGATCTGAAAGAGATGCTAGTAATACAGTCAAGTGATGAGTTTTCATTGCTGTTCTTTCCTACGTCTGTTAGGTGTGGGATAAAAGTGAAAACGGAGAATGGCACTGCACAGCAAGCTGGAAGGTATACCACCTTTATGTTAGTGTTGTATATAAGTAATATGATGTGAATATATATCATAATACATATTTATTCACCATCTGTGACGCTTGCATGGACTGTCCAAACAGACGCACAGTGGTTCGGTGTGGAGAGTGACGTGGGCACATCCAGAGTTTGGACAAGTTTTGGCTTCATGCTCATTTGACAGGACGGCTGCCGTTTGGGAAGAGATTGTGGGAGAATCCAATGACAAACAGAGAGGACAGAGCCACTGGGTGTGTTGACTTTTTCTGTTCTGTCATTATTTAAAAAAATATGTCCACAGCAATATTTTTCTTTTGGGCATTCCTTATGAAATACAATATAATATAATACAAATTTCAGCAATCTAGCAACAACAAATAAATTACCATTTCTGAATTAGTATTAGTATTCTGAATTTTTATGTGCAGCGCAAAGAGAAGTCATATACATTTAAGGTTTCAAGGGGTTAGGGTTGCCCTGACACTAATCAATACCATAACTGAAATTAGATTGTTTTTAAGCAGGTATAAATATTTAATCAAATTACTTCAATGGGTCAAAGTTGCGCCGTTTCTAAATAGTTAGTTAATTAAGTTAACCAGAACTTGAAGCTTAAGGAAGCCAGTCTGTCATTCCCAGACATGGGGAGAACGTGCAACTTCTGTTTCTTAGACAAACTACTTTTATTTATTTTATATGAAAATTACATTCCATTGTTTTTAAACAATGGAATGTACAATGGAATGTACAAAACAACTTCAAAATGCACACCTTTTGATCATGTTTTTTTCCTATCATTTTAGATAAAGAGAACCACATTGGTAGACAGTCGAACATCTGTGACAGATGTGAAATTTGCTCCTAAACACATGGGTTTGATGCTAACTACGTGTTCTGCTGATGGTGTGGGTGAGGATCTATGAAGCCCCTGATGTCATGAACTTGAGTCAGTGGTCCCTGCAGCATGAGATCTCCTGCAAGCTGAGCTGCAGCTGCATCTCTTGGAACCCCTCCAGGTAAACACACTTGATGAAAAAACTGTAGTTAAGCGTAAGTAGTTATGCTGACCTGGTCTTATATTGTTTTCTTCTTTGCAGCTCGCGAGCCCATCCTCCAATGTTTGCTGTCGGAAGTGATGACAGCAATGTAGCATATGGTGGAAAAGTCCAAATCTATGAATACAATGAAAATACAAGGTGAGGCACATATACTAATTCCTTCAACTTGGATTGTTGCTTTGTGTTTTTTATTTGTTTGTTATTTACAGGAAATATGCCAAGGCAGAAACTCTAATGACAGTCACAGATGCCGTTCATGATATTGCTTTTGCTCCAAACTTGGGAAGGTCTTTTCATGTTCTCGCCATTGCGACCAAAGATGTCAGAATATTTAAGCTGGTGCCTTTGAGGTTTGGTTCCTTCTGTGAATATAATTAACATAAATGCACAAATAATAAGACAATATTTCTTGATAGGAAAGAGAGCACATCTTCAGGACCAACTAAATTTGAGGTGCAGATTGTGGCTCAGTTTGATAACCACAACTCCCAGGTGTGGAGAGTAAGCTGGAACATCACCAGCACTTTATTGGCTTCCTCTGGGGATGATGGGTGTGTGCGACTATGGAAAGGTGAGGCTTTACTGCTCTCTTTTATGTGCAGTGTGAACTGAGGCCGAACAAATTTGTTAAGCTATCTGATTGCAGTCTAATTGAAGTATTTGGTTGAGCAATTGCTATGTTGAAAAAAAGGGTTCAATTTAACCCCGGCCAGGTCCTGGAGCAATTAGTGTTTTATTATATTACAAGACCCCAAGGAGGACAGGGGAATATAGTTTTTTTAAGGACATTGTATTGCCTAATACTTCACATTTTTGTAATGCGAAGATTGAAGCTGCAAATTGATTAATAAAAGGGCATTCCATGGCAAAACTGATCTTTCTTCTTTTTTTAACAAAAAAAAAATGCATTAATGCTCATTGTTTTTGTTGGCACCCAAATTTATTTGAAAAGGAAATCTAGGCAACTAAAAAGTGAAACTAAGTGGTCATTAACAATATTTGAGCCTGTTACACTTACCTCACCAGCTGTAAACCTCACTGCATGTCGCTGCTTTGATTGTTATAAATTAGTCATTAAGTCTTTGCTATCCAGGCAAAGGGTTCAGTCTCTTGGGAGCTTTTGCCACTTTAAAGCTTGCTGTATCAAGGTGTATAATGCTTGCGCATATGTTCTGATTGAACCCAAATCATAATTCTTTGCAGCCAACTACATGGACAATTGGAAGTGCACGGGGATCCTGAAAGGTGATGGGAGTCCTCTGACTGGATCTTCTAGTCAGCTCACAGCCATGAGCACTATGATGGGCTCCTCTCTCCAGTCTCAAAGTGCCATCAATGGCATGTCTGCTGGAAGGTAGGTGGTGTGGTGTGTCTAACGCCACTCACCCTGCCTGCTCCAAGACAGAACTGACAACTTAACTGTGCCTCACAAGCATTGAGACTTACCCAGGTGCTTGATGTGCAAAGAGCTTGGTGTTAGCTTACAGGCTAGCCACATCCAGGTCTAGGAAGATAATAAATTGTAATTGTCCAATGGGTAGGCACAGGGATCAAAGTTTATAATGATTTTGTCTTAGTACATTTTTTTTGTATAAAAAACTCAAATAAATATATGGTATGTAATTGAATATGATTGTTACTGCGTTTTTTTAATATACAAAGTGTTATAAATAAATATGGTAACAACAAAACAATATTGATAAACTGCGATTTGAGCCCCCTTCACATACGAATCATTTTTGCCAATCTCTTTGCTCTGAATGATTTCATTAATCCTTTGTTAGTAACTAATAATAGAATGCTTTTATGCTCTTATCATTGACTTAATTAATCTTAATTAATTGAATTAATTAAATAGTTAATGAATAAGCCATTACACAATGTATTGATGGCTGAATGATTTGAGAAAAATATAAAAACTGACTAATACAATAATCACATTTCAGAAAAAGTCTGTGTTCCTGCAGACCTAACCTATAAGGTTAGCAGTTTTTATGTAGGATAAGACAGGATATTTTTGCAGAAGAAATGATAGTACTTCAAAAAATTGCAGATCATAAATCCAAACGCACTTATTTGTAGGCATATTTGTAACAGCACAACACATGTTTGCTTCCAGAGAACTGAAAAATAACAGCATATAACTTTATAACTATAATTTTTCCTAAGAATGATACTGACATTGCTTTTCTTTTAATACTGAAAATCTATTGTAAATGGTAACTTAAATTGGCTGCAAAAATTTGAAAAATTTAGAATTTCTAAAAGCCTGCTAATGTTTAAATTATTAATGTGTGTACTGCTTGTTGCATGCAGGACTGTCAAGAGATCTGCCTTTGCCCCTCCCCTGCGGCAGTTGACATCTGCAAAGATATATCACCAATCCACCTATTACTAAATGCCCTCAATATCAGCATCATCTGCCTGCCTTTTGAGTTCTCCTTTTTATTTTGGTGCACTTATCATTTTTAACTTCTTCATTCCAATGTATTTTCCACTTCCTTATCTTTGTTTCTGTGTTCCATATTTGTGTTGTATCCCCTCCTTGTCCCGTGCTTGTTTCCATCTTGTGCTTTAGGTATTTCTTTCCTGCTCTGGATACTCCCAGAGTTGGGAGCAGGTATGGGCACCTTCTGCCTCCTTCCTCTCTCATAGAGAACTGTGAAGCTGAGCCCATCCAGCCTCCACCGCAGCCGCAGGTGCAGATCTACAGACGTCCGTCTAGGGCCCTGCTACCTCTGCCAGAGGCCGAAGGACTGTAAATGCATTTTGAAAGTGCTTCAAATAAAAACCTTCACAATTTTTGTATGTTAAAAATTACAAGTAGGTTGATTAATGTTTGGTAAAGTGTTATTCATATTCATATTTTAAACAATACAACCACTCTGCAATTGTGGATGTTAATGAAGGTAACACATTTTATATGCCCTGAGATTTTTAATCACATTTTCTTCTCTGAAAATTTTGCCTTCAGAATGAATAAAAAGGCACTGATTCATTATTGCATGCTTCTTACATGGGAACTTTTAATAACTTATCCTCTGTGGTTCTGCCCCTAAATAAGTGTATTTATTCATTCATTTATTTATTGCAATTTGACCAACAATAATTGCACTCACAAATGTCTATTTTGTCTATATCTTGGATACACAAATATTTAATTTATTTATTGTCAGATGACTCAAAAACAGGAATGTAGTTCTCAGTGTGTTGCAGAGGACAGCTGTCTGCCAACTGATCCAGTCTTGCAGCTGCTGGACTACACACTCTCAAATTGTACATGTATTATTGAAAAGCAGACTCAGATGCATGCCCAGGTTACCTGTGCTTGCAAAAACTACTACACTGATTAATTCAGAAAATATCCAGTTTGATACAATATTGAATATTTCAGTATCTGTTCTATTTGTGGCCTAGGTTTAATTGGCACTGGCATTACCCAATCATAAGTAACTCTTTGTTTTTTCTATCCAATGAAATTGCTCTAGATTTCAAAAGTTCCGCCCCATTAACATGAGGCGGGCTTCCTGTGGTTCTTGGGCGCTACTAGTTTTCTGAACCTTCTTGCATTCAAAGATTGTCTTTTGGAGTTGTTTTGGCGTTTGAATGAAGAAATGAAGAAAATGAAACTAAAACGTAACATGGGGACGTAACAATCTTTTAAAAAGTGACCTAAGCAAGTGAGAAGAGTCACGAAGAGTTGTCGCCGTTGACTAAAGTGGGATGTGATGTGAGTGAGTTTTTATCTAACGTCTAATATAATCTTTTTCAAACCACCAAAAGACCGGTGTTCATATATTTGTTCGGCTGACCGTCTGCTCAGGTTTAATACAAGATTATGCTTTTGTACTGGCAGGAATTAGATTTAAATCTCTGAAACCAATTTCGTTAACTAATAGTATTGGGAGCGTGCTGTGAATTGGAAGACCCACTTGTTTTTAGCAAGTAGCTAGCTTCAGAAGTTAGCCAACTTAGCCCCATTGGATCATTTGTGCAAGTTGTAGCGGATCATTCATACTCAAGGGCTCAGATTTTTACTTTGATGCCTCCTTATTGTTTTAAACTATTGTTCATTTAAACTGAGTTGCACAAATAAATTACAATGACCATGCACATAAAAGCGACGCTAATCTAATTGATCTGTAGTAGTAAAGGTTTAGTTTCTTTATTGTTTTCTGCAATGCGGGCCATCTTGTAGAACTGTGATAAAATAAACAGTGTAATTATTAATCCATCTACTGATAAGCATTTAGACACCAGTGACAGAATTTGCTAATTTAAATTTAAGATTTATACACTACATTTTTCAGCTTTTCATATTCCGTTTTGTTTACAGATGGTCTGTACCCGAGTTGATGTGTAGCCAGATTTGGTCCCCATCTTGATTATTGGAATTATGGCAGACAACTTTTACAAGCTTGAAGATGAAGCTTTTCCTAGTTTTCTCTACAAGTCCCTAGACAGCACCAGTGGTCGGGCCACATTGGAAAATGTGACCCTCGGATCAGGCCCAGGACTGCCAGTGGCTGCTTCTACTGTCGCTAAAATTAGACCTGCTTTTGACAACAGGTGGGGCCTACTGCTGTTCTTTGCAGATGTGAGATTAAATATGGTATGGGTTTTAGATTTTTATGTTACTAATTTGCTGCCATTTAAAAGGCAGGGTTTGTTGACGCTGAAGGGGGGCATGAAAGAGAGAAATATCACAAGTTCATGTCACTGAATGCTGTTCTTTGTTTTTAGACGAGATCTTGTGGAGGCTTCATATCTGGAAGGCAAGGAGCTGGACCAGGCCAGTGCGCGTTCATCTGTCGAACAGACCAAATTCTCCCTTAATTTTAAAGATGACCTGTAGGTGTAAATGAAGCAGCATCTTATGTATGAAACGTTAGTTTGATTAGGATATTGATAATGATATTGATTTTGTTTTCATTCTTTTTTTCAGGGACAATGCTGATGACTTCATTGCTGCCCATCGGATGTCAGACATGTTGGTAAAAATAAATTTGGATGAGAGCGCATCCAGGAACCAGGCCTCCCTCTTGGGACCTCTGCCTACAGATATGGGTTCAGTTCACGGTCGGATCACGGAGCTAGCAACAGGTAAATGAGTGTTTTTGTCGAAAAACATACAATTTAACCTGATTGCAGTGAAATAATTATTTATTATCATTTCTCTTAGTTTAGTGTAACCCTTAAGTTTATCATTTCTGGCAGATCTATCATCAGGGCTTCTTACATTTACACACAGTGGACGGAGAGGTAGTACAGATGCAAAGGTATGCTATTTTTATCCTATTTTTATCCTTGTTTGTTTTTTTATCCAAAGTTGTAACAGTTGCTAGAAAAAGTACTTCATATTTTGCTTTAAAGTCTTGTTTGTGAATTTGTAGATTGGGCCTTTACATACAGCAGTGAAGGAGAACAAGATGCAGAGTGAGGGAGTAGACAGTGACCATTTCAGTGGAAGCAACTCAAGCTTTTTGGCAAATGAAAAGCTGATGTCTGTGGATAGTTTGAACAGCGATCTCACAGGTCTTTTTTTATTTTTTTTTTATTTGGGAGAGTGCATGATGCTTATACGAAAATTTAAAATATAAAACACAATCTTTGTTATTTGGGATTTGGGATAACTCTTGACTTGTTTCTTAGATGATGACATTGATTTGAACAACTTGCCAGAGGATGAACTGGATCAGTACTTCAATAAATTAGTTCCTCCAGACATGCAAAGAGGCAGAGTGGAAGGTCAAGAGATTCCTGCTACTGTAAGATTCATTGTACAAAAAGTATTTTAGTAAAATTTTAAATTTTAGAAGTAATGATTTATAGTAACACAAAATGTATTTATTTTTATAGGATTCACCTGATATCGGAGATGAGTTGTCAAAACCAGGTTCCACTGAACCTGATCATTACAGACAGCAGTTCTTGGATGACTACCAACAGGTAATATTTATTGGCAAACACTATGAAGAGCTTTATAAGAATGTGTGAAGTATATAATAATTTCCAATCCAATCCTTCCTTGTTTATAAAGCATTATTCATTCACTCCATACTTGGTGGTGGCAAATTACTATAGTAGCCACAGCTGCGCTGGAGCACTCACACACACACACCACTTTCATACTAGACAATATGGGTGAAGTGTCTTGCCCAAGGACACAATGACAGGTTTTGTGACTGGCGGCCGACTGTGGCACGTGTTTTCCCACCAGTCTCTCATCCAAGTACTGACCAGGCCTGGCCTTGCTTAGCTTCTGAGATCTGACGGGATCAGGCTTTGACAAGCTGGTATGGCCAAAGGGACCAGATCTGATCACATTTTTCTAGGATCATTTCCAGATGCCTGATGTGCGTCTGGCTGCGACTGGGATGGACTCCTGTCCGGCCAGTGATGAGGACACAGAAGACGAACTTGAGGCTGCCCGGAGGAAAGACAACACCCGGACAAGACTGTTGCCAAGCACATCACGACAACTGGTCAGATCACAGGCTTTTTTTGAATCTCAATCAAACAGTGAAGTTAAATTAAAAATGAGCACCATTGATTGTATGTCACAAAACATTATCATATTAGACTCTATAAGCCTTTGATTGGAAATTAAATGTATGGCGATATTACAGTAAAAGAATGTGTGTTGTGTATAATCAACAGAGAGAAATGTGCTTTCTTGATTTTGTTTTTTTCTCTTGTATTAAAGACTTTGTTTTGGCACAGGTTGGAGAGAGTCACCATCCAAGTTTTAGGCCTGGTTTAGAAGGTGGTAGCTCGGATGATGATGAGTCCAGCAGTCGAGGAGATCCATCAGCGTCTGGGCTTGAGCACAGGAGATCAGCAGAAGGACAAGTCATTAATCCTCCTATTACTGGTACCACATGATATTTTAATCCGTATTTGAAAAATGAACAAGTTAGATTTTATGACATGTGTTTCATGGTTTCCTTTTAACTAGGGGATGGTGGAGGTGGTGATGGCAGCAGTGGCAGTGAGGAAAGTGGAAATGATGGAGGAGTTTCAACAATGCCTTTACCAGCAGCTGCCGTTCAAACCACATATGATGCATTCCGGGGGCTGGGCATCGTGGGGGAAGATCAGGCCAGTGACCTGAGTGATCTGCATGGGCTTGTAAGACCCAAAATAAGACAACTAGATTTAAACAACTTTTTTGGCAGCCTTTGGAGAGTTGTTGATGTTATTTTCAGATGGGTGATCGCGTTGGTCCTGTAGGAACAGGAGAGGCTTGTTCTTCAGACAGGGCCTCAACGATTGCTCAGAGAGTGGCTCCTGTCACCTGGAGCATGACTGTAGATCGACAGGAGGCGTTGGTGAGTTAAACTTTAGGTAGCGTCCTTTTTCAACTGAAAAGAAATGCATTCGTAATGATTTATACCACAATCTACCTGTTTTTGTTGTTAGGATGCAATGGAACACACCGATAGTGGCCCTACTGTGGAGCATCTCTTGGACTCTCTTTATTTTGGAGGACCTGGATCCAGGGGGTTTCAAGACTCAAATCTGCAAGGGATCCCAGGGAGCTTTAACTTATCCCAGGTTTGCCAAAATATGACTTCTATTCGGAGTTGATGAATGTTGATGACAAAAAAAATCTCTTTCTTCATATTATAAAAAATATGATGATGCATGATTGCGATTATGCAATATACTGTGTGATTGGATCTTCACTGTGTAGGTGGGCTTTCCTGAGAGTGACCAGGACTCAGATGAGGGCATAGATGAGCCTGATGGGTGCAGACAGTCTTTGGGTCAAAGAGGAGGGCCCTGTGGTAATGCATCCACAGCAGAGCCCCCAGACAGTGCCAGTGAGGATGAGCACATCCCCCTCTCCACCTCCCTCGAGCCCAAGTACTTCACCCAGAGTCTGCATCAGGACGATTCGGATGACAGCTGGACCAACTGTCCTGAAAATGTGGAACTGGAGTTGCAGCAGGGTTTGTTATGTTTGGCTCCCCCCCCCCCCTTTTTTTTTTTTTTTTTTTTTTTTGGCCTAGTAATCTCATTCCCAGTATTGTTGAAGCACTGGCCATGTGTGGGCATAGCATACCCCTGATAGAAATTATTTATAGCAATGATGGCTATGAAGAGCTGGATAGATTTTTAATCTATGTATACAATGGTCTATAAGTTGATTTTAAATTTTTGTCTTTTCAGGGGCCAAAAATGCCAATAGTGTGGTGTATCAAAATGAACAAGGCCAGTGGGTCACTGATCTTGCCTATTACTCATCCTTTGAAAAGGAGGTTGGCAACCAGGCACCAGTAAACTTTCAGGAGTTTCAAAATGAATCTTTTGTGGCTCCAGGTTTGTATCTGTTTTAAGTGGCGAACCACATTTCTGTATTTATGCATGCAAACTTACCAAAATGTTTTATTTCAGGTGATGCTTTAGAAAAAATTGCCAAGGACCAAGAGGAATTTGAGAAAGAGCACCAATTCATGCAGGTAAATCCACAATGTCCTAAATACCCTCTATTTATTATCCTAGTCAGTGAAACTGGGAAGAAGAGTAGTTATTACAGACAACCAGTGCCTAATAAATACAATCAAATTAGATTGCGGTATTTACAATACTACAGTTGGGACTTAAAGGTAATCAGTAGGATTTTATTCAATACTATTTCTTTCTATTCTTGAATTTTTTTTGTGACGTTCAAAGGAGGAGAAGATTGATCCTGCTCCGGCTAACACCACCTTTCTGAGTGACTCCTCGTGGAAGCTTCCCAGCAGCAGCTACGTCCTCATGAGGGCCTCCCAGGTGTCAGACTTCTCTCAGGCCGATCAGAGCTACCTCCGCCTGTCTTTGGGTCAGTTCTTTGGACAACGCTCCGAAGCCCTGGGACGTTTGGGCCAAAGAGAAAGTGTGGATGAAATTAAACGGGTCAGTATTTTGTTTTTAATGGTGCAGTGTTATTTTCAGTCTGAGCAGTTATAAGGGATGTAACAATATGGAAATCTCTTGGTACAATATTTTCACAATATGCATCTCACAATAAGATATTTATTGTGATATTTTGTGGACTGGAGCCAAACAAAATTGTGAATATGCTACTTTTTGTTTTTAAAATGCCTTAACAAGCTTTTGGTTATGCCGTAATTCAAATAATTGAATTTAAAAGATTTAAAAAATGCTTAATAATTATTATTTCTTCATGTGGGCGACACTAAAACGGAGCAAAGGATCATGGAATATATAGTTCCCTGTTTTTTGTAGCTATTGCTACACCAAAACAATTAATTTAAACAGTCTTGAAATTAGATATTGTGATGGCCCATGATATTATTGTGAGACTTCTGACAATACGATATCAAAATATTTCATTCAGTTATTGTTGCATCCCTACCAGTTGTCTTTCATGCCAACTTGAATTTTTGAGCTAGTAGTACTATTAGTTTCATTCTTGATTGTTTAAAACTCATTTAAGCCCAGTGTTGCCTGTATGGTGCTTGTATGAAAGTCCCTTTTTCTTTCCTCTTTAGCCCTCTTTTGGCTACGTCATCACTTCGCCAGAAAAGAGGGAACCATTTGCACTGATTCCTCCTTCAGAGATGTCACACACCACTCATCATAATGGAACAATTGATCTTGAGGCAGACAAAACCCTCAACCCAGGTTTGTCTTGATGATTTATTACAGCTATCTTATAATTATGTTTATCAGAATTTTCTAATGTATAATATATTAAATTGGCAGAAGACCTGGATAAAACCATAGAAGCTCCAAAAGAGACAGTCGAATCAGAAACTTGCAGGCAACGGGTACAGCAGTTTTGTTTCACAGATTGCTCTAAATTGTAGCTTAAAAAATTGTGTCTTTTGAGTATTTTGTAATTTGTGCATTATTTATCTCCCATAGGAAATACTTGCTGTTACTTCCAACCACAGTGAGGACTTGGACTCTAATCTGGGAAATCAAAGCTGTCTTTCCCCTGACAGTAACAGTAGTAACCTGATGCTCAGTATCAGTACTATAGCCTCAGCCATTGCAGATGCCTCCATCAGCACAGACCCCTCTCAGTTAGCTGCTATGATCATGGAGCTGTCTAAGAGGGGCAAAAACCGGCCTGAAGCCAAACCTGCTGGGACAAACACGGCTCAACATTCAAAATCAGAGGAACATGTGAGTGTAAGCGTTCCACTTTGTTAGCTTTTATTTGGTTATAATAGTACAAGCCTGCCTATCAAGCTGCACTCGAAAGTGTGCCTTGAACTTTTCAGTTACCTCTTTTATTACAAATGATTATTGCCAATTTAATACAAAATATACAGTAAGAATATAAAGCATAATTTAGCAAGTATATTTTGTAAATGGGACATCCCTCAAGCTGTCCTTGGCTTAAAAATGGGGCCCACAGCAATTAAAATGCAGACCATACATGTTACAAATTACCTTTTATACTGTTTTAGCAAATGTATATTCATATACTTTTACATCAAATACTGAAAAATTGTATATAAAATGGTGTATATACTGTTATTAATCCTGTTTTTCAGTACTTGTATATTTTACATTTACAATTCATCCTGAAGGCATTTACTTTATGGATCCACAATGTTATTGATTCTGTCTAATGAAATCAACCAAATAATAGTACTGATGTGACTAACTCAAATATTAAAATTTTTTAACCAAATATCTTCTGTGGTATAGACTCTCCCTGTCGAGGAGCAGAGCATTATGATGGAGACACTGCAGAAAAGTGCCTTTGACATGGACAAATATCTAAAGAAGAGCGATCTCTCTGGTTATAGTGAAGCTTCTCTTGGACAAACCACGTTTGACTTGACTGCTTGGGCTGACAACATCAGCGCTTCTCTCACTGCTCAGAAGGATTCACCTGATCAGCGGGACCCAATTGCTCAAATGAATCTCTCTACCGCTGACATTGCAAAAGCCAGTACAACAACAAATGGTGACTTAAAGCGTAGCTCAGTTTCTTGCCCTCGTGCGTCTTATAGCTCACAAGCAAGATACTATACTATAAGCTCTGGACAGTCTTCCACACTAAACACAGAAGTGACAGATGTAGCGACTAAAGATAAACAATTAAATGACCATGGAGGCAAAATGGTAGCACAAGCAGTAGCTAGTATCCCCAGATTATCTGTGGAAAAACCACAAAACAAGCAAAAAAGCCCCGCATGTTCTCCTGCTCGCTCTCCTGATGTACCCAGATCTGCATCAGGTTGGAGAAAGGCTCCTACAGGCCAGCCCAATATGAATGGTGCTTCATCAGTACAGAATTCAAAAAGTGTAGAACAGGAACTGCCGGGTGGGCCAAGAAGCTGTCTCCCACTTCGAAGTGCTATGGCTGCCCCCCTTCACTCAAATGTAGAAAAACATGTTGGCTTTACCTGTCCAAGCTCTGAAAGCTCCACATCAGGTCAGTATGATAAATACTCGAAAGGAAATTATCTTCTCTTGTGGATTATTTAAAATTTTAATAAACAAAATTATAATTTTTTCTATTTTTATATTTTTTTCTTCCTTCAGATAAATTTAAAAGCCAAGAGCCATTAGCAGATGAAACTCACTACAACTTCAGGCCTTCTACCTCACCTCTTACACACTCCTCTCCAAGTCAAATCTCATTCCCCAGTGCTGAAAGGTATTTTATCGTTCTTGACCTCTATCTGTCTAAAATATGGAATAATTACTTAGATTTTAGTCATTTGCTTATTTACAGTATGACATCACCATCATCATCCAGAGGAGGGCACTGTGACAAACGTCCGGACTACTCACCTCAGTCCATCTGCTCCAGCCCTGGCATCAGCAGGCTCACCTACATTTCAATAAACGATGCCACTTTGATACCCTCACCAGAGAAACAAAAATATGAAAATGATAAGGTATTACCCCAACTACATTTTGATTAAAACATTTTTTAAGCTTATCGTGTATACACCAGATATAATTGAATCATTTTGTAAATTTTTTCTTTCTCTCAGAATGACCGCACGATGTCATTGAGTACGACCATCATCCGATTCAGCCCCACCCCTCCTGTAGAACCTGATCTCCAGTCGAGCATGGATAACCTGGGTTTGGCCAAAAATCTGGACCAAGCACAACCACATTCAAAGAGCCTGGATCCACTCCCCCCTCAGATCTCTAAAAGTCCTTGTGGCTCCCGTAGTGGCTCTGTTCTTGGTTGCAGTCGGACTCAGAGTGAATGCAACTATCAGTGCAGTGTAGAGGATAAAGCTGGGAATCAGAAACTCCTCACTGACTCCAGCGTAAGGCAGCTCACGAAAGTCGACTCTGGCTACTGTAGTAATTTGAACCTTCAGCATTCTAGCTGCACTGCAGTACATCAGGGCTCCTCGCAACCGTGGGGGCCACCTTGTTCTATCTCATCATCTATGTATGGGTCCAACTATGTACCTATTCCAAGCTTTAAACCACAGTGTTCTGGTCTGGTAGACCTCCCATCACAAGGGGATCTGCAGTCATTGCTCACTGGTCGCTCCCTTTTTATGTCACAACTACCTCAGCGGTACTTGGGGCCTGAGGCGGCTCTGCATCCCAGTGTTTATCATTTGAAGACAGGAAACGACTTGTACGGTGTTCCTCCTTCAGGGATTCCCAACAGTGATCTAACTGTGAGGCCGGGCCATTCGGTTCCTGCTCCTCTGGGACTTTCTGGAGCAGCGGGAGGAGAGCATTTGTTAAGACCTCTCCAGAGTCAGCAAGATTTGGGATTGATGGGGAAGCCGTACGGGCAGTTTGGGACTGAGCCTTTGGTTGGAGGCCTTGAGGATCTTAGAGGTATGTGATAACATGTCTTCTGTTTAATTTTAATTTTTTGTTTTTCTCATGAATTCTCAAGAATGGACTGCATAATATTGACAAAAAAATAATGTCTCAATCTCTCAGTGGTATTCTGTTACTAAATTCGGTATATGTCAATACAACAAATGTGCTAAAATATGTCTTTTTGAATGTATTAGTTCTGGTTTAAGTTTCAGGCGATCATACATACACTCAATTAGTTTCCATTCTTATGTTTAATTAGCTCCTTTTTCAGCTTTTTTTCCAATTATAAACTGAATTCATTATATTTTGATAATCTGCTTACCTTGATTTCCCATACTGTGTGTGTGTGTGTGGTGTGTATGTATGTATAATATAATAAATATAACAAATATAATATAATATAACATAGTATAATATATAATCTAATTTTTTTTAATCTATCGTGCTATTTTGTAAACATAATTGGGACAGTTTAATAGATGCTTCATTTGCTTTATAGAGTATGGGTGCTTCTTTGTTTTCCAGGTCAAGTGGTGGTTCCAGAAGAGCTTCGGTTTCCTAATGCCTGTTGTGTGGGCATTGCCTCTCAAACATCTCTCAGTCTCTTTAACCCATCTGAAAGGTGGCAACAAGTGTCTATCACCCTCACTAGCCTCTCCATTGATGGGGAAAAGGTAAGTAAGCCAATTCATGATATAATTATAGACTTACTACATAATTGAAAATATTTAAGGAAGAAAACAACCATATTTTATTTAATTGTAATGTATGCTCTATAAATAATACAACAGGTGATTTTAAACAGTCATAGTGTTATATTATCTTATTTCTTCAGGTGGATGCCTTGCCTTACCAGTGGCTTATTGTGAAGAATAAGACTATCATTGGTCCCAAGACTACAGAGGACCAGAAAGTGCTGTTCATTCCTCCTCAACCCGGGGTTTATCAGTGTGTCCTCAGTGTGTGCTCCTGGCCTGCCTCTGCAGAACCAGAGATGGCTGCTAGAGCTAAATTATTTGCTAAAAGGGTGGTGCTTGTGGCTATAGCTGAGAATCCTGCTATAGAGGTAAGTGTATCATTACAATCAAGATGAAATATATTATTACATTAAAATTGATATTATTGTGGCTCAGCATGACATAAACAACCTGAAATATGTTTTTTGTCATATTAGGTTGAACTGGGTAAGTCTGCGTGCTTGGACTTTGGGGACCTGCCAGTTGGAGGAGCCAAATCCCTTGCTCTCAAACTGCTGAACAGGACCCATGCCACAGTTCCCATCCGTTTGGTCCTCAGTGCTGTGAGTCAGTCAGATTAAGATGATTATTTTATTAACAAAACATATTTTATAATCCCAATCAAAACATCACTAAAATGAAAACAGGACATAAACAAATTTTAAATGGTTGAATCAAAAGTATAAAGAAAAAACACATAAGGCTCGCTTTACAGCATTGAAAATTGAATAATCGTCATAAATTTTGTTTACATTTACAAGTTTATCATGCTACAGAAATGGACTCGCCACCATCTTTGTATTTTTTGGTTTCCATTTTTCTTTCCCCTGTCTCGCTCCAGAACGCCACAGCCTGGCGATGCTTCAGT